AAAAAAAAAAAAAAAATGTGATTGAAAGCTATCAGTTGAAATCGAGGGCAGGGGCTGAGGGTCAAGGCAGCAGGTGGAAACGGGGGAGGTTCCAATACTGAAAGCACCATCTTACCTGTTCCAGGACAGGTAAATCCGGACTAGTCAGTTACGATCCTCGGCACTTTTATCCCTCATTCATAAAATTAAATCTGCTCCAACCTACTTAGAGGGCTTGGGAACAAAAAGAATAATGTTTGTAAATGAACTGAGGGCCAGGGAAATCGCTTGCTGGCATAAGTGCCTGCCTGGCAAGCACAGTGTTCAGAGTTTGATCCCTGGTATCAAAAAAAAAAAAAAAAAAAAGCCTTATTAAAAAAAATAATAATAAGGGGGGGCCTGCCCCTTAGCTCAGTTCTTTAAGTGGCTGCTTCAACAAAGCAGTCAGGCTCAATCCCCACAATTGCTGTGGTTCAATCCCCACAACTCAAGCCAGCCAAACCTGCCCTGAAGGCATTCAGAGCAAAAAAATAATAATAATAATAATAATTTTAAAAAGTCCAGGTGTGGTAGCGCACACCTGTAATCTCAGCACTTGGGAGGCTGAAGCAGGAGGATCACCATGAATTCAAGACCAGCCTGGGATATAAAGTAAGCTCATGGCCATCCTGAACTACACTGCAAGACCTTGTCTCAAAAAACAAAAAGTTGAAAAGGCCAGCACTGCATTAAGTTTGAAAGAATTACTCCAAACAGATGCCAGGTTAACAGTTCACTTGCCCCAAGAAAAGTGTTCGCGACTAGGGCAGGGGTTCAGCAGTAGGCAAGGAGAGAGAAAGAGAGCTGCTGTTTACCGGTCTCCCTGGCTGGGCTCTTACTGTTACTACCAACTAAGGAACTTGTCTGATACATCTTTATTGCCAGGTGTGGTGTCTTAATGTATAATCCCAGCCCTCAGGAGTCTGAGGCAGGAGGCTTGCCTAGAGTTCAAGGCCAGCCAGGGCTACATAGTGAGACCTTGTCTCAAAGAGCCAAAGAAAGCTGGGGGTGGTGGCACATGCCTGTACTCTCAGCACATACCCAGCTGATTTTTTTCCTTTTTTTTTGCCTTGTGCCTGAGTCAGTATCCCTCAAGGTCAAGGTAAAACGTGTGCTC